CCGCCCCGCCCCGCCCCGCCCCGCAGCCGCCGCCGCCGCTGCTGCTGCTGCTGCTGCTGCTGCTGCTGCTGCTGCTGCTGCTAGGCGTTGGCGCACTGCAGCACGGGGCACTTGGCGTGGGCCCTTGCGTAGCTCGCCACAGAGCCAAACAAAATCCGCCGCAGCTGCCAGTGGCTGCGGGCCCCCAGCAGCATAACATCAGCGCGCAGCTGCCGCGAGACCCTACACAGCAAGTCCCCCACCGAGGTCTTGCTCGTGCTGCCTGCAGCAGCAGCAGCAGCAGCAGCAGCAGCAGCAGCAGCAGCAGTGAAGGCGCAGGCGGAGGCGCAGGCGCAGGCGCAGACGGCCGGGCGCACGGAAAGCAGATGGGACGGAGGGAGGGGGAAACAGCAGCAGCAGCAGCAGCAGCAGCAGCAGCAGCGGTAGTCAACGCAGTCAGCAGCAGCAGCAGCAGCAGCAGCAGCAGCAGCAGCAGCAGCAGCAGCAGCAGCAGCAGCAGCAGCAGCGGGGGTCTCACTGATGGGGACTGCCAGGCAGTAGACGTGGAGGCCGTTGAGGGATATTTCCGCCATGTCATGCATGCGCTGCTGCACCTGCTGCTGCTGCTGCCGGTTGTAGGCTCCTGCTGCCGAAGTTGCTGCCAGAATCATTCCTGCGAAGCAGCAGCAGCAGCAGCAGCAGCAGCAAAGCTTCCACAGCAGTGCCGCAACAGCAGCAACAGCAGCAGGCCTCTTCGCGCGCTGCAGCAGCAGCAGCAACAGCAACAGCAGCAAACCTCCCAACGCACTGCAGCCAGCAGCAGCAGCAGACCTCCCAACGCACCCCACCCAGCAGCAGCAGCAGCAGCAGCAGCAGCAGCAGCAGCAGCAGCAGCAGCAGCAGCCTCACCGTGTTGGAAGAAGTCTGCGCCAAGCGCAAGAACTTTTGCTGCAGCAGCTGCGGATGCTCTGCTGAGATTTTGGCTAAGAGCCCCAGCAGCAGCGCGTCGACACTGGTGGTGTCGCAGCAGCTGAAGAGCTGCGCCAGCTGCTGCTGCTGCTGCTGCTGCTGCTGCTGCAGGCAGCACGCGCAGGTGTGGGAAAGCAGCGCGGAGCCGGAGCAGCTGCAGGCAGCAGCAGGAGCAGCAGCAGGCGCAGCAGCAGCTGCTGCTCCTGCTGCTGCTGGCTCTTTGCCCCACGTAGAGTAGGGGTTGCCTGAGAGGACCGCTGCAGCAGCAGCAGCAACAGTTGCTGCTGCTGTGGGGTCCACCGTCAAGGCCCACCCCTTGTTCTGCTGCTCAGCAGCACCAGCAGCAGCAGCAGCAGCAGTGTAGCCGTCCAGCGAAGAAAAGCTGCTGTTGTTGGAAGGCAGCACTGTAGAGTATCTCACAGTGTCTTGGTCTGTTGCGCGAGTCATTTCTTTGGCAGCAGCAGCAGCAGCTCAGCTTCAAGCAGCAAAACGCAGCCCGAGGTCACACAGACGCGAGTCCGCTGCAGCAGCAGCAGCAGCAGCAGCAGCGGGAAAGCAACGGCACCGGCAGCAGCGCCTAAATGCGCCTAACAATGCCGTATTTAAATTTGTCTTTGGCGGTTTGGTTCGCGGGGAGCAGCAGCAGCTGCTGCAGCCGCTGCTACACGAGCGGAGGCGTTGCAGCTGATGCTGCTTCTGCGTTGCTGCTGCTGTGGCTGTTGCTGCAGCAGCAACCAGAGGCTCATCAAGAACCAACAGCTTCCCAAAAAAGGAATCTCAATAATATTCTCCAAATGAAGTGAAATCGCATGGGAAAGAGGGCGCGAGGTTTGCTGCAACAGCAACCTGCACCGCAGCTGCTGCAGCAGCAGCAGCAGCAGCAGCAGCGGCACGAGGAGGTTGGGAGAAGCAGCGAAGCCAACCGTTCCCTACAAATCCTACAAAACTGCTCAGTTCATATCTTGTGAAACTGTCTGCTGCCGCATTTTCTGGTTTGCGTCTCCCCTGCTGCTGCTGCTGCTGCTGCTCTGCTGCTGCTACGGGGCCTGCAAAAGGGGCTGAGCGGGTGCGGCAGCAGCAGACCACTTGCTGCAGCAGCCGCTGCAGCAGCAGCAGCAGCGCCAGCAGCCTTTACTGCAGGGATCCCCACTAGCAGAGCTCATTAGCGCTGTGCAGCAGCAGCAGCAGCAATGAAACAGTTCCATTGAGGAGGCAGCAGCAGACCCGATTCAATAGCAGCAGGTCCTTGCTGCCACGCCGATTGTGCGGTCACCTGTGTGGTTCTTTCTGCTGCTGCTGCTGCTGCTGCTGCTGCTGCTGCTGCAGCATCTGACACATCTTGAGTCAGCGCTGCTGCTGCAGTGTCAAAGGGGAAATTAGTCAAGGCAGTTAGAGCGCAGCTGTGTCTGAAGCGGCTGCTGCAGCAGCAAACATGCAGCAGCATTGAAGGCCCGAGCAGCAGCTACAACGGGTGCAGCAGCAAAGAGGCGATGGATCCCTGCTGCTGCTGCTGCGCAGCAGCAGCAGTATTTGCTGCCAACAAACAGAGAATCCTACAGCAGCAGCAAGAAGAACAGCAGCTCCGCAAACTCGCTGTAGCAGCTGCAGCTGCAGCAGACAGCAGCAGCAGCAGCTCCTGCTGCTGTCGTGTCTAGCGATAATGAGGAAGCCCCAGCAGCAGCAGCAGCAGCAGCAGCAGCCACAAACGGGGCTTCGATGTGGGGCGCGGCTGGTGCCTTGGCGGCAGCAGCAGCTGCTGCTGCTGCTTCCCGTGCTGCTGCTGCTGCTGCTGCTACAGTTAGCTGCCTCGCATGCAGTCCACGTCAGCGCAAAGAGGCCGTGGGCATTTGCATCTCCGTCTGCTGCTGCTGCTGCTGCTCCCGTTGCTGCTGCTCCTGCTGCTGCAGTGGCGCTGCGCATGCAGCAGCAGCAGAAGAAACAAAGAGGCAGAAAGCATCCTCCAGCGGAGCAGGTTCGACGGCAGGAAATGCTGCTGTGGCAGCAGCAGCAGCAGCAGCAGCTGCGGCGGCAGCAGAAGATTCTCCGGGGTGCAGCAAACAGCAGCACGGGCAGCAGCACTTTTGAGGCTCAGTTGCTGCAGCTGCTGCAGAGTGGAGAGCGGCGCACTGTCCGCCGCAAGCAGCAGCAGCAGCACCAAATGCAGCAGCAGCAGCAGCAAACGCAGCAGCAGCAGCAAACGCAGCAGCAGAAAGGCCAAGCGCAACGGTCCAGCCTGCCCGGTGTGAAGCCGCCACAGCAGCAGCAGAAGCACCAACTGCAGCAAAGGCAGCAGCAGCAGCAGCAGCAGCAGCAGGGAGTGCCAGCAGCAAAGCGTGGCCTTGGCAGCAAAGAAGAGGTCCCGAGCCGCAACAGAAAGCCTCAGGAGCTGCCCGATGATATAGCAAAAGCAGTTGCAGCAGCAGCAGCAGCAGCTAATGCTGCTGCTGCAGCAGGAAAGGAGCTGCCAGTCCTCTTCCCGGGAATCCGGGCCATTCCTCAGCAGCAGCAAAACAAGCTGCAGCAGCAGCAGCAGCAGCAGCAGCAGCAGGTGCTAGTCGATGGCGTGGTCGATTTGAACACCTTGCCTCACATCGCGCCGGAGTCTCTCGGACTGCAGCAGCAGCAGCAGCAGCAGCAGCAGCAAGAGGAGCGACAGGATGGAACTGCTGCTGGCGAGAACAGCAGCAGGGCCGAGGACTCTTTGCTGCTGCTGCAGCCTTCTTTGCGGCGCTCTTTGCTGCGCGGCGGCATCAGATGTCTTTCGCCGCTGCAGCGTGCTGCGCTGCTGTGGCAGCAGCAGCAGCAGCAGCAGCAGCAGCAGACCGCAGAGGGCGGGGGCAGCAGCAGCAAAAGCAGATGCGACAATGTGCTGCTGCTGCCGGGCCCCACAGGCAGCGGGAAAACGCTGGCCTACGTACTTCCCATTTTTCAGCAGCTTCTGGCGCATGCAGAGGAGCAGCAGCAGCGCCTGCAGCAGCAGCAGCAGCACCTGCAGCGCCTGCAGCAGCAGCAGCAGCTAATGCAGCAGCAGCTGCGGCTGCCGCAGCAGCATCAGCAGCTGCCGCAGCAGCAAGAGCACCAGCACCAGCACCAGCAGCAGCCACAGCAGCAGCATGAGCAGCAGCAGCAGCAGCAGCAGCAGCATGAGCAGCAGCAGCAGCAGCAGCAGCAGCAGCAGCAGCAGCAGCAGCAGCAGCAGCACGTGTGCGCCAGCTTGTCTCGCGTGAAGGGAGGCATTAGGGCGCTGGTTTTGGCGCCCACGAGAGAAGTGGCAGCTCAAGTGTACAGACTTTGCTGCAGCCTCAGCAGCGAGGTGCAGCAGCAGCAGAAACTGCTGCAGCAGCGCCACGCTGCTGCTGCTGCTGCTGCCGACGGCGCCTCAGCTGCTGCTGCTGCTGCGGGCCCGTGCTGCTGTGCTGCTGCAGTGAGGCCCGCGCTGCTGATTGGAGGCGCAAACCCGCAGCTGCTGCTGCAGCGGCTGCGGCAGCAAAAAGCAAATGTGCTTGTTGCTACTCCGGGCCGCCTGCTGCAGCTGCTGCGCCTCAAGGCAGCGAGCCAGCAGCAGCAGCAGCAGCAGCAGCAGCAGCAGAAACGACCCAAGGGGACCGGAGCCTTGCAGCTGCATGCGCTGCAGTTTGTTGTTGTGGATGAAGCAGACGCATTCTGCAGCAGCAGCAGCAGCAAGAGCAGCAGCAAGAGCAGCACTAGCAAGGTCGCGAGCAGCAAGAGCAGCAGCAGCAACGCCAACAGAACTAGCACCAGCAGCAGAAGCAGCAGCAGCAGCAGCAGCAGCAGCAGCAGCAGCAGCAAGGTAAGGGATCGCTTCGGTGATCTCACTGAGTTGCTGCAGCGCAGCATGAGCAGCAGCGGAGGCGGCAAGGGCTCGCCGCTGCTGCTGCTGGCTTCTGCTACTTTGGGGGAGGCCCCGAAGGCGATATTAGGGGCCCTTGGGAGGTCTGCTGCTGCTGCAGCAGCAGCAGCAGCAGCAGCTGCTGCTGCTGCTGCTGCAGGCGCAGCAGCAGCGCTGCCCAGCAACTTGCTGCACCTCGCGGTGTCTTCGCAGCACTGCAACAAAGTGGCGCTGCTGCTGCTGCTGCTGCGGGCGGAGCCTTTGAACAAGCGCTGCATTGTGTTTTGCAGATCCCCTGTGAGCCCCCAAACCCTAAACCCTAAACCCTAAACCCTAAACCCTAGCCAGCTCTTCACTGAGGCTGCTGCTGCTGCTGCTGCTGCTGCGCTGCAGCTTGCTGCTGAACACCTCCAGCGAGCTCTGGCTCTTCGCTTGGGCCCCAAAAGGTCCCTTTTGCTGCAGGGGGATGCAGAGGGGCGGGAGCGCCGTGCTGCTGTTGCTGCTATGCAGCAGCTGCCTGCTGCTGCTGCTGCTGCTGCTGCTGCTGCTGCGACAGCCGCCACTGCTGCAGTTCTCGTCGCCTCTGAGACAGCAGCAAGGGGGCTCGATCTGCCCCTCCTTACCCACGCAATCAACTTCGATCTCCCTACCGGTATTTGCTGCTGCTGCTGCTGCTGCTGCTGCTGCTGCTGCTGCTGCTGCTGCTCGTGCTTTGTTGCCTGGGCTGCGTGCTGCTGCGCTGGGACATTCCTGCTGTTGCTGCTGCTGAGCTCGGTGGTGTCGCTGCTGCTGCGCGCGGGGCTGCATGCACTGCTGAATCTTGCGTCGGTAGGTCTTCTGCTGCTGCTGCTGCGCCTTGCTAATGCTTCTTTGCTGCTGCTGCTGCTGCTGCTGCTGCTGCTGCTGCTGCTGCTTCAGATGCACTCTCGCTGGCGCACCGCAGCGGGCGAGTTGGCCGCGCGGGCAATCCGGGCTGTGTAATATCTTTAGTGGCTTCAGCAGCAGAGAGGCTGAAGCTGCAGCAGCAGTACCAGCAGCTGCAGCAGCAGCAGCTGATGCTGCAGCAGCTGCACTACTGCGTGCCCCACGAGGGAAGACTCTGGCGTGTTTCGGAGCCTTAAGCCCATTGCCGCTGCTGCTGCAGCTTCTGCTGCTGCAGCTTCTCCTGCTGCTGCTGCTGCTCTCATTTGACCCTGAGGGCAGCCATATTGTAGGTAGTCGGCGTTGTAGCAGCAGCAGCACAGCAGCAGCAGCAGCAGCAGCAGCAGCAGCAGCAGCAGCCCTTTTCTCGCCAGCAGGCCCCACAGGGTATCCATTTGCTGCAGTACAGAATGGCTAAGCAGCAAATCCCTCATGTGTAAACAAATAAACAGTTTGGAGCTGCTGCTGCAGCGCTGCATGCGCTTTGGAGCTGCTGCTGCAGCGCATGCAGCGCTGCATGCAGCACAGCAGCAAGAAGAGAGCCGCCTGCCGGTGTCTTGTCTAGTTTTTGTTTTTAGTTATAAATAACTTTTTATTTTCCAAGTCTACAAATAATATAATTATAATAATATAATTATAAAGTGTTTTACTTGTTTTTATAAAAAGAAAAAAAGACACTTTTGCTCTTCCGCAGCCGCAAGGGTGTCTAAGGGCAAAGTTTGCCTGGACCCCTGCTGCAGCAGCAGCTGCTGCTGCTGCTGCAGCTGCAGCAGCAACAGGCTGTTGCAGCAAGTGGGGCTGCAGCATCAGCAGCTGCTGCCGCTTCTCCAACAGACTCTTTTTGTCTTTTCAAAGTTTCTTCATTTAAAGGGCCGGAGGTGGCCATTGGCAGCTTCCAGTTTTGCTGCTGCTGCTGCTGCTGCAGCAAAATCCGCTTTGCTGCTGCTGCTGCTGCAACGGGGACTGGATGCGCTAGGCGTTCTGGCTTCCTCTGCTGCAGCTGCCTGTGCTGCCGCAGCAGATGTAGAGCTGTTCTGTGCCGGCAACACTGCTGCTGCTGCTGCTGCTGCTGACCCTGCTGCTGGTCCTGCAGCCGCTGCTGCTGGTCTTGCTGCTGCTGCTAGTCTTGCTGCTGCTGCTGGTCGCGTTGCTGCTGCTGCTGCTGCTGCTGCTGCTGCTGCTGTTGCTGCTGCTTCAGGCGGGCGTGTGCGCAGCTTTGCATTTCTTTCTTTCCAACACAAGGCGGGCTTCGAGTCGTGCTGCAGCAAAAGAGAAGCAAAGAAGACTTTGCTGCTGCTGGGCTTTTCATATTAAGTTTTTGTCTGTCTTTTTAGCTGCTGCTTTCTGCTTTGCCTTTTCTTCCTACGCCCCCGTAGCAGCAGCTGCAGCAGCTGCAGCAGCTGCAGCAGCAGCAGCTGCAGCAGCAGCAGCTGCAGCAGCAAAAGCTACTCCAGCAGCAGCAGCTACTGCAGCTCCCTTCATTTCTCTGTTCTGTTTTTCTTACTTCTTTGCGCCTCCGCCGCTGCTGCCTTCCGCTTCAGCCCCTGCAGCAGCAGCAGCAGCAGCAGCAGCAGCAAAGATTTTTGCAACAGCAGCAGAAGCGGCTATTAAAGCAGCAGCGGATATTGCAGCAGCTGCAGCTACTGCAGCAGCTACTGCAGCAGCAGCAGCAGCAGCAACAGCGGGATTCGAAGGGACAAGAACTTAAGCAAAAAGAAATAAAAACAAAAAGGAGACAAAAAAGAAAAATAAAAATAAAAACAAAAAGACAGAGACTGCAAAAGGAGACACAAAAAGCAGCTTTTGCTTTTGACAGCAAAAGGAAATAGCAGCAGCAGCAGCAGCAGCAGCAGCAGCAGCAGCAACAGTAGTTTGCGGGCAAAAGACACAGTAGGGACACAGCAGCAGCAGCAAAAAGAGCAAGAGGTCCAAAAGAGTGGAAGAGATGCAGCTGCAGCAGGAAATTAAAAAGCAATAAAATAAAAAGATAAAAAGAAATTAAAAAAGAAAAAAAGAAATAAAAGAATAAAAAGAATTAAAAAGATTAAAAAGCAACAAAATAAAAAGATAAAAAGAAATTAAAAAAAGAAATAAAAGGATAAAAAGAATTAAAAAGATTAAAAAGCAACAAAATAAAAAGATAAAAAGAAATTAAAAAGACAAAAAGAAATAAAAAAGAATAAAAAGAATTAAAAAGATAAAAGACAAAGCAGCAGCAGCACCTGCACTATGTGCGAAAGCCCGCTGCTCTTTGCTGCTGCAACAGCAGCTTTTGCCATTTCATACAAACTCCCATCAGGCCGCTCGGGGAAAAGCGCCTGCAGCAAGCGCAGCAGCAGCAGCAGCAGCAGCAGCAGCAGCAGCAGCAGCAGCAGCAGCAGCAGCAGCAACAGCAAAAGCTGGGAGCGGGGCCAGCAAGCCAGCAGCAGCAGCAGCCAATGTTGCAGCAGCCAGTGCTGCTGCCAATACAGGGGCAGACGGAAGGTGGAGCGGAGGCTAGCAGCAAAGAAAAAGCAGCAGCAGCAGCAGCAGCAGCAAAAGCAGAGCAGCAGCAGCAGCAACAGAAACAGCAGCAAGGGAGGGCGCAGCAGCAGCACGGAAAAGGCCGCCAGCAACAGCAACCAGTGGAGCTCCAATACCAACCAAGAGAGCAGCAACGGCAGCAGCAGCTGCAGCAGCAGCTGCAGCAGCAACTGCAGCAGCAGCAGCAGCTGCAGCAGCAGCAGCAGCAGCAGCAAGCTACCTTCAGTTTGCTGTAGATGTGGCCAAAGAGTATATCGTGGGGCTGCAGCCGCCTGATTTGCTGCTGCTGCTCCCTCACAACTTTTAAGTGCCGCTTCACTGCTGCTGCTGTGGTTGCTGCTGCTGCTGCTGCTGCTGCTGCTGCGTTTGGGGTTTTTGCTGCTGCAGCAGGCTCAGACTTTTTGGGGGTCCCTCCGGAGGCCGTTTGGCTGTTGGCGGAGTCTCCTGCTGCTGATGCTTCTGATTCTGCTGCAGTTGTTGCTGCTGCTGCTGCGGCACTTGCTGCTGCTGCCCCGGGCTGACTTGAAGCAGGAGCAGCAGAAGCAGAAGCATCAGTTGCAGCAGCAGCAGCAGCTGCTGCTGCTGCTGCACCTTCATTCTCCACGAGTGCTGCAGCAACACCGTCAGGAGAGTGGGCAGACTGCTCCTTCTCCTGCTGCTGCTGCTCCTGCTGCTGCTGCTGCTGCTGCTGCTCCTGCTGCTGCTGCTCCTCCTGCTGCTGCAGCAGCGCCTCTGGAACTGGCAGCAGCTTGCAAGGCGGCAGCGGATGAAACGGCAGCAGCAGCTTCGCCTTCTCCTGCATGCGCTGCAGCCGCCGCTGCAGCGAAGCCCGCACTTCCGGTGGCTGCTGCTGCAGCAGTGCTGCAGCAGCAGCAGCAGCAGCAGCAAGCGCAACAGCAGCGGCAGCAGCAAAGAGAAGCAATGAGCGCTCAAAGCAGCACACAAAGAATGCTGCAGCAGCAAAGTGACAGGGAAATGAATAGAAGGAGACAAAAGGAAGTAAAAGAAAATAAAAATGGAATTAAAAGATTAAAAAGACAAAAATTAAAATTTATTTTTAAATTCTCACTTGCTGCTGCTGCCACTTCTCTTTGCTTCGCTTTTGCTGCAAAGAGCTGAACCTCATTTGGGGGCTCCCAGCAGATGGGCCCCACAGCCAGGCCCAGGGCGTAGCTCAGTTTGCTGCTGCAGCAGGCCTCGTCGAAATCTGCTGCTGCTGCTGCTGCTGCTGCTGCTGCTGCTGCTGATGGGCCTGCGGCTGCCTCGCCATCCTTCTGCTGCTCCTCACCTGCTGCTGCTGCTGCTGCTGCAGGAACGCCTTCGAAATCTATGTCCGCTTCTAAGGGGTCCTGGCCTCCGAACAAGCCCCACTCATCTTCTGCTGCTGCTGCTGCTGCGGCTGGTGCTGCTGCTGCTGCCGCTGCTGCTGCGCCTCCGTCTGTGTGTGCTGCTGCTGCGGCCGACTCACCCTTGGGTTTATTTTCTGCTGCATTATCCTCTGCAGCAGGCTCTTCTGCTGCTGCTACTGCCGCTGCAGTGTCTGCTGCGCTACCTGCTGCAGCAGCAACAGCAGCAGCAGCAGGACCTTCGCTGAGCTGCTGCTGCTGCTGCTGCTGCTGCTGCTGCCCCTCCAAAGGTGCATCCTCATCCATGTTTTCCATTTTCAAAACCCTCGACTCAAACCCTCTTCTCCAAACCCTAAAATGGTGCCTGCTGCAGCCCCGGCCGAGTCGAGGGTTTAGAGCCTCGGTCGAGAGGGTTTGGAGTCCACAGCAGCAAAATAAAGTAATTTAAAACCCTAAAACCCTCAAAAACATAAAAAGGAATATTTATTTGCTGCTCAGCGGCTGCACCAGACGAGGGTACTGGGGGGTTGTTTTGGGGTGGTGGGGCCCCCCGGGGGCCCCTGGGGGGCCCCTGGGGGGCCCCTGGGGGAAACGCTAGCTGGGGGGCCCCCAGGTCACTGAGGGGGCCCTCTGAGGGGCCCCCAAGCGCTTTCCTAGGCATTTTGTGTATAATTGCAAGAGCAGCAGCAGCAAAAACAGCAGCAGCTGCTGCTGCGGAGGCAGCAACAGCAGCAGCGGCAACAGCAGCAGCAGCAGCAGAAGGGAGAGCAGTGGTACTCACTCTTGTGTGTCTCCCTACGGTCAAGGCTACAAGCAGGGTTAGGTCATTGAATTGCTGCTGCTGCTGCTGCTGCTGCTATTGCTGCTGCTGCTGCTATTGCTGCTGCTGCTGCTATTGCTGCTGCTGCTGCTATTGCTGCTGCTGCTGCGACCGCTGCGGCTTCTTGCTGCTTCTTTTTCCCACTTTGCCTCTTAATGCTGCAGCAGCAGCAAAACTTCTTTGCCCAGCCTGTGCTCGGCCTTGTTGGCCTCATTTATTAGTTAAAAAGTCTGTTGCTTCTTTTCCATTTTGCTGCTGCTGCGGCTCCCATGGAAGCCCGCTGTTGCTGTGGCTAGCTAGCTGTTGCTGGCTTACCGTAGCTAGCTGGCTGTGGCTAGCTGCCCGTGGCTAGCTATCCGGAGCTAGCTAGCTGTAGCTAGCTAACTGTATCTAGCTAGCCGTGTCTAGCTAGCTGTGGCTAGCCAGTTCTAGCTAGCTAGATGAACAGGCTGTCGAGCTTGATCACTTTCAGCTGCCGCAGCCGCTGGCAGCTGAGGGCTATGTTCAGAGCAGCAGCAGCAGCAGCAGCAGCCAAAGCGGCAGCAGCAGCAGCAGCAGCAGCACACCGGGCAGAAGAGAACGCAGCAGCAACAAGCAAGCCCGGCTTTCCAGCTGGCACCTCGTGCTTGCCTGTTGTTGCCTTCTTAGCTAGAAAATAAAAAAACAAATTAAATTAATTAAAATAAATATATTTTATTATTATTCAAAAACAACATTAGTAAATAATATATTTTATTATTCAAGTTTGCACTTCATTCTTTTGCCGCTGCAGCCTCAAGGCCCAGCCACAGGCTGTCTAGACACCGGAGCACACAGCACGGGCAAAGACCACGAGGCGCTGCAGCTGCAGCAGCTGCAGCGGACACAGCAGCTGCAGCAGCTGCAGCAGCAGCTGCTGCAGCAGCTGCAGCAGGGGCCTCCAAAAGCGCAGCTGCTGCAGCTGCTGCAGCTGCTGCAGCTGCTGCAGCTGCTGCAGCTGCTGAGCTTTTGGGGGGCCTACATACTTTGCTGCAGCTCTTTGGTCCCGCTCTCGCGGGCCTAATAAAAGTGCTGCAGCACTTACTTAGCAGCTTTTGCTGCACTTGTGCTTCTTTACAACTATTTAAAACTTCCTAAAGGACTAATAGTATTAAATTAAAAATAAATAAAAAACAGAATGAGAAGCAGCAAGACACATGCTGCTGCTTGCGCAAGAATGCGGCAGTGAGTTCGACCCCAGAAAGCCTTCTTCGGCGCCTCTGCTGCTGCTGCACCTGCTGCTGTTGCGTCTGCTGCTGCTGCAGCTGCTGCTGCAGCATCTCTACCAGTGCTGCAGCAGCATATAGTAGATGTATTCCATATATGAATAGACATCTACTGGACTCAAGAACGGCCTGCAGCAGCTCAGACACAGCCCCCACTCCGGTCTGCTGAAAGTGGCTTTGCTGATGCAGCAGCAGCAGCAGCTGCTGCTGCTGCTGCGCTGCTCCATTTGTTTGCCTTTGCGCCTCAAGTCTTGGCCCAAGCTAGCCAAGCAGCAATTTGCAAACCACAGACAAGGCCGCATGCATGCAAGCTAGCTAGCCAACGCGAGGCTCTGAGCAGCGGCACAGAAAGCGCCAGCAGCAGCAGCAGCATCCAGCAGCAGCAGCAACCTCCAGCAGCCGCAGCAGCATCCAGCAGAAGCAGCAGCACCCAGCAGCAGCAGCAAAATCCAGCGGCAGCAGCAACATCCAGCAGCAGCAGCAGCAGCAGCAGCAGCAGCAGCAGCTGCAGGAGCGCTAGCCCCAGTTAGCCGTGGTCAATGCGACTGGCTCTTGCGCAGCAGCACCGCCAAGGAGATCTTCTTGAAAATAAACTGACAGGAAATGATCTGTTGCTGTCGAGGCACACCCGCTGGGGAAAGGCCAGTTCACCCCCAGAGTGACCAGTGGTCTGCAGTGACCAGTGGTCACTTGCAGCAGGGGCCCCGGGCTGGAAGGGGCCCCCTAGGTGGCCGCGAAGATGGCCACTTGTTGAAAAAAACTAAAATGTGAGTTCTGAGTTTTTCTTTTTGGGACAAAGTTGCTTTTTTTATCTGACGCAAGAGCCGTCTGCCGCAGCAGCCCGTTTGGGCTCTTCCTGGGGCATTTGCTGCAGCAGCAAGAATGAAAGGTAGCTGCAGCAGCAAGAATGAAAGGTAGCTTTCTGCTGCACCATTTTTGCTTCAAATCCTCCCCGCAGCTTTGCCTGGCTCAGCCTCAAACACTTTGCTGCTGCTCCTGCATGCAGCAGCTAACTTGCTGCTGCTCAACGCCTGAAAAGCCCCCTAAAAGGCAGCACTTAAGGGCTTTTGAGGCTCTTCTTGCTCCAAAAGGACTTCTTGTGGTTCTTAAAAGATCTTCTGAAGAGATTCCCTGGGCCTTTTCAGCGCAAAGCGCCGCGGGATGAACAAAGCTGCAGGGCTATGTGCTGAGTTGCCTACAGCAAGTTATTTGGTGGTTTTGAATCGGCTCTTTTTCTTGTTATTAGACAATAAAACGAGTGAAGAACCTGCAGGGATTCTTCCCCTGGAAATGCTGTTTTAAAAAGGAGCTCAGACGCTGCATTTGCTTCATATAATGCATTCGAACCAAAAAGCAACACTTTTGCATGCGCTCGGAAACTTGCAAAATAGCGAAATAATTCAAAAGAGCTCGAGCTCTGACTGCTGGCACCAACAAGAAGGTAAATGCCTTTTCTTTGGCATATTTTTAAATGGATATTTGCATGCAAAAAGAAAGAATGCATTCAGAATGCAAATGCTCGTGGATACGCTGGACTGCACATTTTTGGGAACTTGTAAGCCCACGTGACTCTAAGGGATATTTGTTCTCGTGTTTGACTTCGCATTTTCTTACGGATATATATATGATATATATAATAGTAATATTAATATTTATCCCAATATTTATATTGTTATTTGTAGTTATATACTGTGCAGAACTCCAAAGAGGCGTCGAGCAGTATAATGAGTGTGCTGTTGCACAAGAATTATTCGGAAAGGAGAAGCCCGTGCTTGGACGCGCCGAAAGCTCAGCATCTGGACCTAAAAGGTAAGGGCCCACGCTATTGTCTTTACTTTTAAAAGAAGAAGAAAAGAAAAAGAAAAGAAAAGCCTCTTGCTCGCTGCGTTTACGCCATCGGAAGCACACAGTGACTCCTGCAGAACTTGGGATAAAACTGCTTAGACATTTTTTTAGAGTTATTTTTCATCTCATGCATGCGGAGTAATTGTCTTCAGGCGTTTGGCCGAATGCACCAAGTTCCCACTTGGCTGTTTGCGGGGTTTTGCAAGTTGGCTTTTGCAAGTGAGAATGCAAGATGGCGCGAATGGCTTCAAAAGTGTAAAAGTTGCTGTTCACAAAATAAGTGTACTTGTAACTAAATTTGCTGTTCACAAAATAAATGTAATTCTGATAAAATGCGGGTATTGAAGCGGAGATGTGCATACTTGTTTTTGCAATCGTTGCGCCTTGGAGCCACTCCCAGGAAATGATTCTTGTGTCGTTCCTCGTGAAAAAGGCATGCATGCGCATTAATTACTTCACTACATTTATTTTGATTTATTTAAAAGAAAAAATAGACAGAAAGGAACAAATGGCCTCTCCCATGCCCTGTTTTCTTCGGTCCCGCCACTGCGGGTAACCCTCTCGCAGCCCTTCCCGCAACCCGGACCGGGTGAGCGTCATCTTGAGCCTTTTAATTCATTAATTCGTATTGTTTTTCGTAAATTATTTTAAATATAGCATCAAAAGAAAAACAAGGAGGCGAGTTTGCCACATTCTCACTGTTTGCTGCAAGCACTTCCCAAGTGGTCTGCACCTCGGCCCTGGTTCTGCCTGTGGGGGCCGTGGCCGCCGCCGCTGTTGTAGCTTTTGTAGTCCGTTTGGCCTCTTTGTCAGTCATTTTATTTGCGTTTCGATTTAAATATGCAATTTTGACTATTTTAAAATTTGAATTTGCACGCTCTGGCCCCGTCAATTTTGCTCCATCTCGTTGCCCAGGAAGGTCACCCGCTGGTCCGGTCCGCGCCGACCGGCCCTAGACCAGTCTGCAGGCTTTTGTAGTAATATGCCGTTTATTTCTTTTTTCAGCAGTTTAAAGACTGGGAATTAATGAGCCTTGGCCTTAAAATTGGCCATCTTAGCGCGAGACTGGCGCTCACCCTCCCACTTGCAGCCCAAAGCGCCGCGTGCAGGAACTACTGCGGATTGCCCGCCCCGATCCACAGAAAACCCCTCTAAATTGCTGGAGGCTTTCTTTTGCTGCTTTCTTTAAGGATATTCTGGGCTCCCCGAGGCGCCTCAGCAGGGAAATGTGCGATCGTTTGCGCTCCGCCCCGCAGGGCTTGGCTGGGGCATCCTTGCCTTCTGCAGGGCTCGACCCGAGGGGCCTCGCAGGCAGCTCAAGCAGCGCCGCATCAGCTGCTGCTGCTTCTCATTCTGCAAATGATTTAACTGGGAAAGACCCGCGCAGCCCAACGAGG